AGATTATATTGCACCACTAAATAACCCAGTCGAAAACGAGGAAGTCGAACTAGAAATTCAATTACCAGACCAGGGACCAAAAGGTAATAAACAGGTAGAAGACGAAGAAGCTGATAATCAAGACAATCAAGGAAGTGACCAAGAAAACCAAGTAGACGACGCTGAAGCATCACAACCATCAACCAGAGCCCCAACTCCAGAGCTAGATAATCAAAATCCACCAGTAGCTCCACCAGCAGCAATTCCACCAGTAGCGAATCCACCAGCTCCGCCAGCAAACCCACCTATACCCCCAGCACCACCAGTTCAAGCAGACGACGAAGAGGAAATGTCTCAAGCCACATATCCAGTCTTTGATGGGACAAATCCACATAAATGGCTAGGTGAAATGGAGATAGCCTTTACTGCAAACAATATCCAAGCCAATGCTAACGAACAAAGAATAGGATTGGCAGTCCTAAACTCTGGCCCTGCCAAAATGTGGTATATAATGTTGGCAGCGAAACCAACCACATGGACAGTAGCAAATCATGTAGATGGATTCAAGGAACTATTTTTAGAAAAATACGCGAACGACGATAACAGAGTGCAAGCCTCTCAGTCAGCCTTTATGAGAACTCAAAGGCTAGGAGAAACTGTTGGCCAATACTATAATGCATTACAGGAGCAATGGATGGAGTGTGGATATGGAGTTATACCAGAGTGGATGAAGGTAAACAAGTTCGTACATGGGCTAATTCCAGCAATCAGAGAGCCAGTAATGCAGCAAGCCCCAACTACAATCGCTGATGCAGTAAAAGTAGCAACACAGTGCTACAATGCGTTCCAAACAAATGTCCAGCCATCCCATACGGCAACCGACACAGCACTACAGGCATTGATGGCAACAATGCAAGAATTGGTAGCCGAAACCAAGAACAAGAACAACAGCAACCAAGGGAATGCTGGAAATGAACGCCCTCAGTATAACAATAATCGGCCTCGAAACAATCGTTATCAACCCCGACAGCGGCAGCAAATGACTAA